ACATTACTGATTGTAATCCTTGCCCAGATCACTCAATTATTCAGACTCCTCCAGATACCACTCCTAAAGATACAGTTAAACCAAAGATTTCTAGCCCAGGTGTTATTACTACTAGGTCTGGACGCATTGTCCACAAACCAGATAAGTTGAACTTGTAATTCTGAGTTTATTAGTGTTTTGACTTTCCTCATTGTAAGCCATTTTAGGGGGAAGGGATGTGATAACTTTGTATCTATATTTAGTACGCTAGATGTTCTTTTGTTAGTGGTCACATGACCACCTTTGAGTTTGTAATGGCGGCAAAGCTTGCCAAGTTGTAGTCTGCAGTTCCACAGAATAAAACTGAGTTAACGTGTTAATTGCCGTTTTTCCTGTGTGGATCTTTGCGGTGGTGGATAGGCAAACACTCGGTTACTACAATCAGCATGTGCCTCCTACAAATAAAGACTTGTTTTTTTTTTTTGATACACTGTGGTTAAATTCGTAATAGCTCCCCGTAGTCCTGTGGTTTTAGCAGCAATTTTTTTTTGTCCGAATTTTTTTTTTCGCCCTCTCGCATTAGTTTTGGGGTCTTCAGAGGATGTTATCCATAAAATTAAATCAGTGTGGCCTTATTTACATAAAATTCCAACACGCGCTGCGCGACGATCACCGCGCTTTAATTTGACTCTATATCTTGCTAAAATTAGCGTCACTTTTGAAATTGGTATTAGGAATAATTTTGTAATGTGTTACTGTGATATTTTGAATTAATAAAGTCTAATAAGAACATGTAGCGAATGAAATAAACCTTAATAGTATTATATGTATTGAAATCGCACGTCCATGTATTAGCCATAGAAAGCAAAGTGAATTCCATTTCCATTTTAACTTAGTCACAGACTTCCCATTTGAGTTCACGGCTTCGGACCACCCATCGCCCTACCCACAACCACTATCGTGGGTCAATTTAATATATTCAAATATTTAAATATAAGTTTGTCCCACAGTTGATTATCTTTTAACTGGTTAGACTTGCTCATTTTGTAAGTATATAAATTTAATCATGTCATATTAAAATGTTAAAACACCGTGAGCCGCGTACGTGGGTAAGACTACGTATTTTACACTATTGTAATATTTTCAGCGGTTTATTGAATTTCACAAACGAATGTTTCAATAACGAACAAGATACACGGGGTACTGGGCCAACTTCGGTTTCGGCTGCAAACTGTGGCTATTTGCCGAAATGAATATCTAAACAAACAAAATGGAAGTAGACTTGTGTGTTGCACCGTACTGCTGTCCATTTTACAGGTGATGCCGACTCCCACTCCTTCCTGAGTTAAACCTTCTTCGCATGACTCAAGTTGTTGTAAAGGTCAATATACTATTACTTGCACTAACGAATGGTCGTTGTGACATTACAGTTGGTCATTGATTTGCATTTCAGTCTAACTACTCAGCTTCACAAAGGCAATCCATTCATATGCAAATGTAGTCATAGCAATAGCAATAAAGCTAGTGCGGCCATCTTTAACAGCTACGAACTGGTTCACTCTTATTTACTTAAAGTGTCGTGTTAATCTACGTTGTGTACCACCATACATCGTGTATCGCTCACAGTTGTTGTTGTTTCTGCCATTGTTAGTCTGCAAGGTAAAAGATCACAGGTTACGTAGAAGGGCTCTCTGCAAAAGCTGAGTGTGGAGTAATTGGTTTCAGACGAGCGTACGGTACAAACTTTAGGTGGGTGACATTTAACTTTCCGACCAACGACTCAGGTCTGCCTGCCATTGCGGAATCACGTATATTTATAACATATATTACTTACTTTAATTTCGTACGTCGAATGTTTATCATTGGGGGTACGTGCGGGGGGTATGCTGCGAGGGCGTACATGGTAGTACGGACACTACTCACTGACTTTAATAAAGGGGAGATTGATCGGAACGTACTTAAACAAGGTCATGCCATGTTGTTTTTTTCACTTGCGATCACATACTAATTTATGTATGTTTCGTATTGCGATCAAGCTTTAAAAATACGTTCTAGAAGCAAAGTATTGCAATTGAGGTGGCCAAACGGGTTCAAGTTGATGTTCCGATCAGATAACGCAACGTTACACTAATCTTGCTTATTCGCTCCAACGAATTTCCCACAATACATTTGACATACAGATCAGGATGCATTCTTTTAAAAGGTTATCTCAGTATGCCGGTACAAGTGTCAGGTGGTACATTCATCTTGTACTGCTCAACGAACAGTGCTGTCACGTTTGGTCGCCGTTTTGGATCCGTCTTCTAGCTGTCATTTGATATACTGGTTCTCCACATACATATACCTGAACGAAATATCACTACAATATGTTTCCTACAGCCTCAATGTTCTTTTGAAAAATCTGTTTATTTTACCAAAAAATTCAATTTTTTCAAGATATATACTTTACTCGTGATTTCATAATCCCTTATAAGGAAGTGATTCTCGTATTTTTCCATAATACACAGCTGCATTAGAGCGGTTGACACCTGTTTGGTCGTGTTTAAAGGGCGGTAGTCGTCGTGCCACGCATGCGCGAGATATATGGTCTTATATAAACAAAAATGGCGACTTTGACTGTTGCGCAGATCAGCAAGTACAAACTGAGACGTTACCAAGCTTTAAATGGGTGTTTTGTTAGGTGATTGGAAGGTATCAAAGGAGTCACCGGCGATAATTAGTGCAAGTCGCGCCCAGGTCAAACTTCATACTTGTGATTTCCCATTAAAATTGAATTATGGGAAATCAATGTTTATCAACACTAATGTCGCACTTCGTATCAATAACTGTATCGATGTATTTTCAGGCTCCGATCGAAATGGACGAATCTGCGAGACAACGTCAGCGGGGACAAATCATGCTGATTGCTGGTATCGTCATGGTGGTTGTGTCCATTATCTTAGAGGTTGTCTTATGGTGGTATTTTTACATCGGTGGAATTTTATTTATCGCCGGGGTTATTCTGATAATAATAGGATCAGTGTTTTTGTGCAACGCCAATAATTCCCGCAGACAAGTCACCGTGATCCAGACAGCGCAGCCAGCGGCGCCGAGTACGGTGGTTGTATCCAACAACATGATGCAAAATATGTCGTATATGCCGCCACCCCCGGCGTACGGTGGACCGCCTCAACACGGCCACTACGCTACAAAGCAAGTATATTTTATTGACATCGATATAAATATCGTCACTATTACGTCACATCCCTCAGTTTCGCACCCGATTCGATATCACATACTATTAACAGAACAAGTTTTACTCTCGGCTGTTATTGGTACATAATGTAGCCCTTCGCTATTCGTATACATATATCACTATTGGAACTGTTATTATGACACTATTTTTAATATCTATTTCGGCAAATGGTTACGTGTAACACTTGCAATGTGGTTATATGAGTCTTTCGGTGCCTTAACAAGATAAATCACGCGTCATTTCCATAGAATGAACAAAATATTAACCACACCTTCTCGTAGATAACCATTATTATGCACACTGACTCAGGCAGGGCAGGGTCATACGCAAAGCGCATCTTCATTCATACCAATAGCCATCTTGAACTGAACCAATGGCTGCTAATAAAATACGAGGTATTTTCTAAAAATATATATAATTGTTCAATAATATTATTAGTCATTAGCTATAAATGCTATATATACATATAAAAAGAACATTATTATTTTTATTTTATTTTTTTCAGTCCCCCTCCTCCGGCTTATGGTATGCAATCTCAACCAGCCTATGCATCGACCTATCCAGGTCAGCAACAACCACCGAAGTACTGATGAGCAATTTACATACTATTACATGTCAATGCAGCATATAAAAATGAAATCATGTGTTAGTTCAATTACACTACACGTTTTTTTTTAAATTTCAATACAGTTGTTGTAGATTTGTTATCTTGAAATATTAACATTATATTTTTTTAAACGTGTTTGATGTCAGCGATATATCATTGTGATTGATCTCTTTTAAACAGATTAGGAACTGTGCAGATTTCCCAAATGTTTAATCTATTAGTATGGTACATTTTTCATTAAGTTTGAGGATAGCTGTTCACAGTGAAGCGGGATCGAGTTACTTTCGTTGGGTGATGTCGTTATTAAAGAGGCATGGCTGGTACATAGTTGTTATGTTTTTTTTTTATTTATATCACCGAATTTTAATATGCATTTATTTTTAAATTTTATTATTACATATATACATATATAGTGGATTCAATATATTTACTGTGTCGTGATAAATACAATAAAAAACGTTACTTAATTATTTAGGTAGCAAGATTCTTTGTTCAGTGTGTTTAAATTATTAATACAACTTGAATGTATCTGTTGAAAATATATGTATTGTTATTATTAAATGGTGAATGAGTGTCTACTAAATGTCGTATGCGACAAATGCGAGTCTTCGTCATCGTCGGTACCCCAATGAATCAATCACTATTGGTTTCATTATTAATTATTATTGAGTTATAATAAATGTCTCCATATATAAATGAAAGTATATATATATATATATATATGTCTAACTTCCTGACACCCCCCCCCTCCCCCTCGGCATCGGCATACTCATCTTGAAATATGACACGATTCTACGGTTAGAAAATTTTACACCATAAGCTATTTATATTTATATTCTTTATATATACATTGTATTTATATTCTGCTGTAGAAAGAGAAAATATAATCAACCAATCTGATGCATATCAATCACTAAGTGGGAATATATCCACAATACATCACACTCCAACGCCTGGTACCCTACCCGGGCACTACTACACTAATCTGCATTCCAATGGGAACCGTTACGGGATATATTTTCCTTAAATACGGAGTATACATTTTCGATTTAATATTTGTAAAAAGTGTCATAGTGCAGCATATATCATTCATTCATTTTTAAAGGAAAATGCAAAATGTTAGCAAACGCACCCAATTTATCTGAGTTAAAACTCACCTTGCTAACCATTATTTTCACGTACGTACTAAAGTGGATGTTACAATAGCGCCCTCCGGTGTCAATTGTTCCCTCTTGCGATGGTAACTTGTTGAATTGTAGCTCATTGAACACTTGACTACGAAACTATAACGATAGTTTAAACATCACCCTGATCCATTCCTTACATCATTTATACTATACTTAATTTACTTCATATTTGACGAAAAACTCATTCTTCTGCAAGTTGAAACACCAAACAACTTTCCTTTCCAGAAATTGAAACATGTACTATGTCCCTTTCCTATGTTACATCGATGAATTCGAAATGGATGCTACTTTGGTTGCTGTGTATTAACGTTACGGAAGTGGACTTTTGATTGTGTATCGATAAAGTGTAATTATTACTAGTATCTTCCATGTAAGTACCGCTATAAATAGAATAAAAAAACACTGTGTTAGCAGGTCTTCATATGTTTTCCAACAATAACTATAATGATTTATGTAACTCTATCTATTTCAAGAGTGTGGGATATGATTTCAATTTTTGGATCGTCTGTTGGCCCCGTGTCCCATTTTTATTATGTTTTTGTTCAGTACTAACTACGTCAAATAAAAATAAAATGTCGACGAAATAAGCAGCCGACAATACTACAGTCACAAACATTTTACTTTTTAGTGCGATAGTACTGCATCACAACCCACCAAAGATACTATAACTGTGAGGCTAAACAATCCCAGAAATGTCCATAGTAAGGAAACATGTTTCAGATCCACTACTTGTGAATATCAACTGGCACAACACATAATAAAAATATTCCTTTCAGGAGATGTCATATTGGTTCTTACTAACAAATTAACAAGTAGAGGACGTTGTCGGCCGGTAGATGGCGCTGCTCATACGCCCGCTCATCTGCAAACTGACTAACTTTGTGCTATTTAAACTTAGCAATTATAGCGTTTTGTTACGATAAACGTTTTTGGCAATAAACAACAAGGAGTAGATATTAAGTTTATTACTATTGTTTACATTTTTAGTTCAACTATAGATTATATTATGATATTTAGATCGTTACGTAAATTATAAAATGGTCAATGTACTTGAAGGGTGGCGGTTGTCGCACCGCATCCTGTTTGATATGAGACTCATAGCGATGTATACCAGGCGTGTAAAATACATTGTTTCAAGTTATTTACATGAAATTCGACCACCGCCATTTAATTTGTACATGGTACTTTGAACAGCTGTAAAGGTTAACGGTAAGCACAGTCACTCTGTGACTAGTAGAGTGACTGTGCGGTAAGCAACGCCTTTTGCAAGTCCGCAAACTGTATTTTTTTTTTTTTTTTTTTTTTTTTTTTTACGGGATCAGATCAGATCAGACAAGTTCCTTATCATAGGTAATTCTTTGAAAAGTAGTATGGAAATGCCCACTTGTCATCATGCCGGATTCTGGTCGTGGTTTTGGATCAAGCTAGGTACTAGGTATTATGATCTGTATAATGTTACAGCAGCGTCGGTGTCACGGTACACAGCCTGTTGGACTCATGCAGTGAAAAAAGCCCTTCTTGATTTCAAATAGCCGATTCTTAATCTGTTTCAAATGAAAATTTTTGCTTACTAATTACGACAAGGTTTCTGTATCTGATTTGGTGAGTGAAATTCTGCGTACTTGTCAAACTTGATTCACCGCTGATAAAACTTCTTTTTGAACGTTCTCGCGGCGGCAGTCGCAAGAGCGCCACCAGGCGATTAGTTTACATGAACCGGAAGTCATTAACTGAAGCGGATGTCTACAAAACTACGTGGCCGTCCAGAAATGGTGAAAACATAACACATGATGGTAGCGGATTGCACGGGTTTAACATGACAGCGCGGCACCACTGTTTTCTATAGCATGCGTCAGTTGCAGCCCAAACGTAGTGCTTTGCTGCAGGTCATGGCTAGGCATCCAGAATTGGTCAGCCTTGTATTTGCTTTCGTGTTTGCTATTCTGGCAAACCGTACATCGCCGAGTCAGAGGTAAGTGTCGGTGTTGTCTTCTGTGCCTCGTCATGCACAGACTGACCCAAGATTTCAGTCTTTTCCTCAAGTACCTGGCCATCTGGTATCCTAGAACTATATGGTTGTTAACATATTATCGTGGTAATATTGGCATTTGATCGTCGTGACTCGCATATCTCGAGGTGTAATTTGTTTAAAATGGCTTTTCTGATTTCTTGTAAGTTTCTGGGACAAAGTTAAGGGAATGTGAAATAATAGAAACAACGGAATTGGCATATAACTGTTTGTATATTCTATTTGCTAAATTACCATTTCCATTTTACAATTTCACTTGTGATGATGATTATGGTTGTGATTCAAGCAAAACAAATAATTATTATGTTATTCCATGGAGCTCTTTTTTTAGCTCCATGGTTATTCTAAGAATAGTTTGTGCCGGTATTAAGTCTTTGTTGTGGTGTTTTGGACATTTGATATCCTTATTATTCTTGGATATTTAGATTTTATTGACACAGAAGGGCTATGGTCTCTTCTATAAACATACATCCACAAACTGGGCTTTTTGCAGTATACATGTATGTTGCGTTAAATTTTGGTGTTTTAGTCAGCATGAAAGCATATTTCTCCTTCTTTGTATAATTTGTGCATTTTAGCGTGGCCACAGAAATGCTTGAACTTACAAGAAAACAATAGAAATATATTTTTTATCTGTAAAATCGAAATGTGCAAAATAAATGTCATTTGGACATTTAGTTGTGAAGAAACCCACATAGTTTCCACTTATAATATTGATGTATTTTTGTTAAAACAACAACAAAATACTTAATTCTCCAACAAAACTATAATTTCCATTTATTGTATTTTTTTGCTTGATAGCACTGAATACCCAGCATTACAACCAAAAGTAATATTCCCAGCATACTCGCCTGTGAAAGATTACATTTATGGTAGCATGCAGATGGTAAGACAACATATCCAGAATTCCAGTACTGAAGTGTATTTTATTATGTACTATGCACACTGGGACGGCGAATCGTTAGAAACAGCCACAGAATTTGAACAGGCAGCTTATTTGTTACAAGGACAGGTGAGAAATGTCTTATGAATTCGATAATAAATAAAATTGACAAAAGTTGTATGCCACCTTTGTCATAGTTTGAAGCTTTTCGTGATGATAAAGTAAGTTTTAGTTATGACTGTGAATCATTGAGGACAGTGTTCTTAAAGTAGAGCTTGAACTGAATCAAAATGCTCACTACTGTGCTTATACTATGCACATCCAATATAACATCTTGAAAATATTGTCACACTTGTTATGTTTTGATTTTGATTTCATATCAATATTAATATATGAACCTCATTAAATGATAATTAATAAACTAAATGATAATGAGCTTGTAAAATTAAGTAATACCGTAATAGCTATCAGAATTTTGATGACATCATAGCTTTACATTATCACACAATAATGAAAACTTCTATTTTCTGGGGAATTCATTTCAACCAAAAGCCCCCAAATTTAGCTAAATTTGTTTAATTTTGATGATGGTTATTTGTAATAGCAATAATGAATCCGTCACAGTGTCATATTTGGTTGAATATAAATTAAAGTGTAAAAAAAATTCCAGATGTAATATTGGACAAAAAGCAGTGGTATTCTTGAGATAAAATCAAACATTTTGTTAGCGAGTTCATGAAACTTGCATTTCAGTTATACAAAGAACAATCGCGAGCAAACAACATTGCGGAAACGTTAATAAAAAATAATGATGGGTCTGTTCTTTATACATGTGTGAAACCTGTCCAGATGTGGGGATTGCAATCAATTTGTGTGTTAACCTCATGCTCTGCCTGGCTATCGTCTGATTAATGCATGTATTAATTTAATGCTGGTTATTCTTATTGTAGGTCACGTTTCTTGCTGTAAATTGTTGGTTCCCGTCAGGATCATGTAGAAAAAGTGTTCCACTGAAATACTTCCCCATGTTAATGGCATACAACAGCAACTTTGAAGGAATTCAATATCATGGTATATTAAAGACTACATATATGGTGGACTTTTTAGAAAGAATTTGCAGTCCAGTGAGCTATGTGCCGAATGATATAGAGCTAGGAAAGTTTGTTGCACAAACTGAGGTAAAATGTTTTGTGTTGCGTTAACCTTTTCACCATCAGATTTTTGTTCGCACGTTTTCTTGTATTCTTAAATTGTTCTGAAAATAAACCCTAATTTGGAGCAAACAGAGAAAATTTAAGTCAATTTTAAGTTTTTACTCAAAAAATTTGGCTTTTTTTGGTACAATCTTCTGAAGGAAAGTCCAGACTATAAACAAAACTATTTTGTGAATTTGTGATGTAAAGAGGGAACTGGTGATGAAAAGATTAAGTTTTATAATACTAACAGATATCTAAGTGCAAATTAATAATTTTTATGTTTTTTTGGAATCAGTTTTAACTTACATTGCAATTAGATTGGGTATATTTTCATGTATATCATATTTACTTTGTTAGAAGCACATGCCCTTATGATAATGACAGAAACAAATTCATGGTCAGAATAAGGCATGTACATATGTAAATATTTGAAAAATGTTTTTTTGCTTGCTCGTAAAGAAGTGAAGGTAAAGTCATATTAGTGGCAAAATGGTCTGTTGTCCAGCGACACCATTGCAAACTTTCTTGTAGGCATAGTTAAACTATAGTTGGCCTGTATATATTTCAAAGTTAAACTTCCAAAAAATTAAATTTTTTTTTTTTTAATTTTTTTTAAAGTGTATATAGTCTAGTAGTAGTGTAGTGGTTGGAACCTTTGGTGGAAGACCATGAGTCCAAACTCTAATGCTAGAAACTAAATTTAAATTTAATTAACTAATTGAATGTGTTTTTTTCTTCAATTTTTTTTTTCTTATATTATTTATATTACCTCTTAACTTTTTGTTCAATAACTTGAATGTTTAAAATTCCCAATAAATATAATAACAAATATTTACCTAGAAGTGTTGACCGACCATGGTCAGTGGTGGTATTAATTAGGGTTAAACTGTTCAGCAAAATAGGAAGGGATTTGCAGTCATGATTTCTAGCAATTTAACTAATTTAATCTGGTTGATTGGTGAAGTTAATGATGAATTAATAAACAATAGTGTTGACATTTTGAATATTCAAGTTAAATTACCAGCATGTATAACTTCTCATCAGCTCTTTTGTTTCTTTGTTGCCGTATATAATTGTTTCTTTAAAGAGTCGTTATGAGTAAATTAGGTGATTACTTTCCAACTTATGGTTAATTAATTTGTATGCATAGATGACCTTGCCCCACCCTTTATACCATATGTTGTTATCTTCCCTACTTTATGTAGTCCATCTTTCCATTTTATTCCAAGATCTGCCTTACTTACCTACCTACCTACCTACCTACCTACCTACCTACCTGCCTACCTACCTGCCTGCCTGCCTGCCTGCCTGTAATGATAACCCTATTCTATGATCTGGCCATCTTTACATATACAGGGAAAGCCATGTACAGTTTAACTATGTTTTGCTTTGAGTGTGCTTCTGTTGGACACGTGCTTCTAATATAGCAACCTATTAACTTATCTTGCATCTCAGAATAAATTCTTATAAATTTCTTATAATTTCTTTTTCAAATTTTGACAAAGGTGAATGAAATAAACTTGTGGGATACTCAAAACTGGAAAATAGAAAGAAAATACAAATTTGCCAATATTTTCTTCTTTTTTTGTTTTCGCAAAGTTACTACGGTAACCTGTGTTTACAAACATAATTCTGGTACAACATTCTTAAAAATCAGATTTACATGAAAATTTAGAACATTGTGAAAAATAATAATTGTGTGCTATTTGAATGAGAGTTGAGAGGATTATAGTCTGATACACATATGTATGTTGTTATAGAGAACAATAAATTGTACTTTGGATCGGATTCTATACTAAATAAGCCAACAGATTACAGTAACATTGTATGCTATGAATCAATCAATTCATCGTACTGTATATATTGATATTCATTTTTTTCTTAATATAGCATCAGAATTTTTGAAAACAAAATTTGGTTTCTGCATCTATTTGTGACAAGCGCCATAATGCTAAATCATTACTGTAACAATAATATCAGTCTTCTTTTGGTATTTTAGAGTACGGTACTTGGTCATTTCGATTTTAGCCACTCCCTTCAACCGTCTGGATACTTGACGTATTACCAAGCAGCCTTATTGTCCTTGGAAAAGAATCCAATTCAGCCGATGCCATTTGGTGTGATAACAAGCTCTAAGCTGGCTAGTTCTTTTGGAATTGTTATGCCCAGAACGGTGTACATGACGAGGGTAATGAATAATACGGTGGTAAGTAAGTCTCTGTAATTATTCAGTAATCTGAATCTAAACTTCCTTTTAGAAAGCAGGTAACCAACTTGCAACATTGCAAACAGGGAAACTATAGCATGTTCTAAAAATCATGTTTCGCCAGTTACCGGAAATTGATTTTCAATTGATGTCCAATTTCTCATGGTTCTAAATTACTTTTGACCATTAGTGTCGAAAGTGGCATAATTTGTTGTAGCCAAATCTGAATGGAAATTGCCATTGGCGGCTTGCGAAGAATGAAATATGATTGAAAATATGCTAATTAGGTACAGTATGTGTGCATGATGTAAATTTCAAGGGATGAAATATAAATATACACTGGCCTTAGAAATTTGTACCGTAATACTCAAATTTATGCGTCATTTCTATCTTTCCTGGCACCTAATTAGAGTATAATAGAGTATAATTAATTTTTATATGTAAATAACGAAAGAACGTGATCCAGTCTTTTGTCCTCACATAATAGCTCTAGTAACTGACTGTATTAATTATTCATGGGGTTTTAATTTTACTGGTAAGTGAAATCTGCTAAATTGAATTCATGGGAACATGGAAAATTACATATAATTTCACTCATAGTTTCACTGGAAATTCGGTGAATATGTTAAAAATTGTTTATATATTAAAATTGTGAAAGGGGAATGCTTTCTTACAACTCTACAACATGTATGCTATTTATTTAAGGTAGAGATGCAGTTTACCTGACAGGTATTTTAATTAGTTAATTAGGAATCCAAGATACACCTCCCTTGTCCACAAAACTATATATTTTCGGAATATATGAATTTTGAAATTTTTTTTTATGGACACTGTAGTTTGAAATATGCACAAAAATGTGCTTTTTTGGTTAAAAGTGATTTAAAAAAATTAGCTTCTAAACCATGCTTTTGTTTTCTGTCAAAATTGGTTTATGGGTACAACTGTCTACCAGTTGTCAATTTGCAGGGCAGCAGCTCAAATTTCACTACTTCAAGTTTATGCATAAATTAACACCCAGGCTAGTTGTCTGTACAGTTGTTGTAACACTGTTCAACCAAAAACAATGCCCGACGGCGTTTTGAAGATAAACACATTGTCAATCATTTGAGAAAATTTCAAAACAAAAGGTCAAAGCGTTCAGGAGCTATTTTTTTTTAAGTTCTGGGATGTGCACTAAAAATAAGCTGAGATAATTGCTAATTTGCATAACAATTCACTCAGCGAGAAGTTTGCTAATGCTCATAATTAAAATGGCTGTAACATTTTCAAATTTTAATGTATTATCGTTTTGTTAAAAGTTAAATATAGTGCATTATATGGAGATCCCGTCATTTCTTTTTTTCACCATGTTTCTTTTTTATTATTTATGTACAGCCTTGCTAAATTTTGCTAAGCATTCAAAAGAGAGAATGTTTGCCCCATGTTATCTATATTTTAAAATCGTTTTTTGAGTATGTTCCACTATTCACAATTCTACAAAATTTTAACAGTCTATAGCCAAGACTTTTTGGATAATAAAAAGCAAAAAAAAAATATTTCACTCCCAAGTGCCCACGAACCTGCCTGCATCTCTACCTTAAGACATAGATATTTTTAAAAAACTCCTTTGACTTCACAGGTGTATCCACGGAGTTCTAATTTTACAGCCACTTCCATTGTGCAGTGGGCGCACCAGTATAGGGAAGAGCTAGTACCTTGGATTGTACCTAATCCTATGAAGAGCCTCAGGTTATCGAAACAGGTCAAAAAGAAACCGTTTGTTTTACTTCTGACCTCGGACGATCCAAGTGATCATTTCAAAAGAAATTATCAACAGGTATTTTCTTTTTATGGATAATTTGAGTAATGTTTTGTAGCAGCTTTTAAATGATATTTCCAGTTTCCAAAATTCTATTTCGTAATAAAATTTCAATACAAAAAGTTTTTAAAATGTCTTGGACTTAGTCGGAGCTTGAAATTGTGATGCGATTCATTTCTAAATTTGTCAGATGCATGTACTAGAAAACTGGTTTACCCTCTTTTATCTTCATTTCAATTATTGATTGACAGTACCTGATACACGAATATTGATACGCTGCTCGCTCATTTGTTAATGCAAATTCTTAAATAGTGATTTTACATAATGCTTACTTTTGTGTATGCAATAGTCTTTCCACTTGTCCACCATGTTCTGTGGCACTATTGGTTCAAATAGATTCAATTGATGACACGTGTACATGGACTCACAAAATTAGATCTTCATCTCATATGACCGTTACCGTAGATATCAAAGTTACATACCTGTATCTTATAAATTCTTGTTGCATCGTCTATTGTATGTTATGCAAGTAACAGCAATCATAGGCCCCCATACTGTGACATCATTTGTTTACATTTTGCCAACTTGTGATGTCTAGTACTAGTCAGCACTTGTTGTTTTATTAACAGGGACATGTTAAGTTTTAAATGCCATGATTAATGCCATTGTTTTTATCTTTGGATGTGAACAACTGGTTCTGAACTAGTTACTGCATAAGCATGCAAAAGGTAAAAGTCCCAGTGGGGGCTACTGCCATAGATGTGCAATACCGGTATGTGCCGCCATAGATGTGCAATACCGGTATGTGCCGCCATAGATGTGCAATACCGGTATGTGCCGCCATAGATGTGCAATACCGGTATGTGCCGCCCGACTAAAATGTCGTTTCACGTTTGTTTTGGTTTAGAAGTGGGTAGTCATTTATTTACTTTTGCACGGGTTCTTGTATTCAAAGCCAGATACCGAAAAAAGCTGAATAAAATGCGTTGTGAGCTGGGTGTTTTTTTTTTCCTTTTGATGTCTTGTATCTTCATGGATGATGTCATTTCTTATTAATGTGCTTAAGCCATTTAGGTCACTGAAAAAACTTATTATTTTTTAGTATAATAAAAAAAAAATTTTTTGTTTAGAAGTGAGTATGGTTTACGATAGGTGGGCTGCACACCCATACCCACTTAATGTAAGTAGCCCCCATGAGATGAAAGTGTGAGGGGCTATACCAGCATACATTCAAATATGTGAATGATTTAGTACACTTATTTCACTCGGCTAACCAAACTGTTGACAAATTTTAAATTGCTAGCGTTTGACTATATCTACAATTTATTTTCTTGGTCAGCTACGAGAGGTAGCAATGGATTACTACAACTGCAATGGTAGCAGTAAAATACAGACAACTGTGGAGATATTAACAGCAATACAACTACAAGAAGAGCAAATCGAAAAGTTGAAATTTGAAATTAAAAAAAGGACTTCCTCGTCCGTTGCTTCCATCAAATGCAGCCGCTAAGCGTCTACCGTGCTGTAACTCATTTGTGGATGAAATCTCAGGAATCAACCAACAAACGCATAATATATGCGATATCTGCATTGAACGTAGGACAAAACTGCAGATGCAGACATGTTCGTTTTTTACCGATATGTTAGTCGATGCAATGCCTTTTTCAGAACAGTTTATTTTTTTATCCCGTGGATGTGTTAATTTAAATAACTACTACAACCCACAGGTTCATTTCAGTGTGTGCTGTAACCTGAGTGATAGTAGTCATAGAAACTTGAATAACAATGATGCGAGGTTCAGATATGTTGAATCTGAAAACGAGAGAATTTGCTTAGATAATGCTGAAGAACCATCATGCAGTAGTCATGACAATTCTGATAATCGTGGTGCATTCCATCTCCCGTCTTCTGATGTTTCTCCTCCGAAGTATAATGCTTCATACATTGCCGCAATTGAAGAAATGAAATCTGCAATGCAGTTCACTGGCCTTGGTTGCCATACTAACAGGAGCGTCAACTTTTTTGCTTTAAACTGGGATGAGTATGGAATAATTGCAAAGCGACTAGGAATTGAGCCAGAAAGTAAAAGACCGACTCTGGCTTTGTTGGATTTGGAGGTGAGTTAAATTCAATAATTTTCATATAGATCATCATGATGTCATATTATGTAGTGTTTGTTTTTCTACCAGAATGAAGTAGAATACATCCTGGATTCTACCTACAACATCAGAAATATAATGGGTCGGGTCGGGTCGGGTCGGGTCAGGTCAGGTCAAGTCATATTATAACACGTTAGTTTGTTTTACTACCAGAAGGACGTAGATAACGTCGAGGAGTCTACCTACAATGTCATGAATATAATGAGCTAGGTTGAGTCAGGTCAGGTCAAGTCATGTGATGACGTGTTATGTTTACTATCAGAATGAAGTAGAATACATCATGGAGTCTACCTACAATGTCAGTAATATGGTGAACTTCTTGAAGAGCTATACAGTGAGTGACCTGATAAGACAGTTGAAATCGACCCCAGTCACCAGCAAAGAACAAGTTTGTAAGGACAATAATGTGGTGTGTGTAACCGAGGTTACCTCGGCAACATTCCATGAGATTGTACTTAATGTAGAAAAGGTAAGTTGTGAAATTAACGAATCCTTTCAATTTTAAATAATATTCACCCAATTCAGCGAAAATGCGCATTTGCTC